GGAGCCAAGGAGGCACCGGGGCGGCCGTGTCCGAGGAGGAGCTGGAGGCTCTCTACGTGCAAGTGAACAAGTTTTCTTTGGTGAGTGGTGGAGGTGGGAAAGAGCCAGCCTCCCTCGAGGGCTGCCCATGGGATGGGTTTTCCTCTGCTCTCGGGTGAGCCGGGGCTTCGTGCTGCAGCTCGGTTGGTGATCTCAGGGGTGCAGGTACCAGGCTGGGGGTTTGGGAGCACCTGGGGCAGGAGGCTGCCCCAAAGAGCCTGGCTGCACCTCGGCGGCACTGAGCCCTCGGGCAAGGTCAAAAACGGCGCTGGCTGCCCGCCATCCCACCGACAAGAGCCAAGGGACAGCGTGTCTCTGATGGCTGCAACCTTGGGCATGCCTTCAGAAAGGGCAGGCGGACCCCGGGTACAGCCAAGCACAAGGAAATCCTCTTTGGTAAATGCCATGGACAGACAGAGCCCATTTTCTGGAAATTTAGGGCAAAATCTCAGCTGGTTTCCTGGCTGGAACTGCCAGGAGGGACATCTCGGCTGCAAACGCAGAGGCTGGTACCCTGAGCGAGTTGTGCGGCTGTTCAGCATCCTTCCTGCTGGCATCCCTCGCCCGGGCTGGGACCAGCCGCCGGAGCCTATAAAAACACACGTGTGGGCCAGCCCCAGCTGGCTGCCACCCCATGTCCTGTCATCACAGCCGCGGGACTTCTGGGACGTGGCCAGGAGAGGCGCGAGCGACTCGTCCCACGGGCAGGGATGCTCCGTGCCTGTTTCTGATCCTTGTTTTGCCTGTTGCAGGCATCTCATTTCCTCTGGGCATGCTGGGGCCTGATCCAGGATAAATACTCTACCATAGACTTTAACTTCTTAAGGTGAGTCCGCTGGGGCTGGGGGGCATTTGCTCCCAGCACAATTCAGTCTTAAATGACTGGAGCAAAAGGATCCAAGTGATCCCTCTATGCTGGAGGGATCCTCCCAGGCCATGGGGCGGAAGCATCTCATGTCTGTCCCTCTCTCTCTCGGCAGATATGCAAAGCTAAGGTTTAAACAGTACTTCAAGATGAAGCCGGTGGTCACAGCCCTGCAGATCTCTAAATAGCATCTCCGGCCCGTGAGACCCTGAGCTATTTTGTCTTTGCTGCGTCCACAGCCCTCGCATCCCCCTCGCCCCTTCCCTGCCCCAGCCGGGGGCGAGGGCAGGTCCTGATGGTGGGAAGGGGGAAGAGGAGATCTGACCCAGCCACCGATTAAAGGAGACCCTGGACATAGCTGAGACTGGACCATGAGATGCTCGAGAGGACCACGGCCCCGGAGCGGTCCCTGCCTACGCAAGGAAGCCTTACCATCGCCTTAACGCCGAGCCCCGGCTCGGCCCCTGTGCCCAGCAGGTCTGTGCTTTGCTGGCACTACTGCTGCTTGGCCTGGCACCTGGATTGCTCCCTCTGTGCTGTCCCTGAGGGGGGAAATGCTCAGGAGCCCCCAGAGCTGCCCAGTTGTTTTAGCTGCCCAACGCACACGCTGTGCCCGTCGTCTTCGCTGCTCCATCCGTCTCCTCTTGCCTTGCCTGCTTGGTGCCGCTTGGGCTCCCACCCCCAAACCAGCACCTTCCTTGGGTCAGGATTGATGCAAATACCCAGATGGTGCAAAGCAGCAAGCAGAGGTGACAACCGTGAGCCATGTGGGCTCGGGACCAGCGGGCTTTTGCTGGTGGGCGCTGGGTGCCTGCACCTCCCGCGACGTGCTCAGCCGCTGTTCTTCCCCATGGTCGTGGTCCCTTGGGCTGCCATTAGCTCCCTGCTCCCGTCGTGGCTCCCCTGGTAGCACCCTGCGCTGCTAGAGCAAGGGGTTCCCAGCTCTGCATTCTCCCTCTCCCCCAGGGCCAGGGGGGTCCATCCTTCCCCTCACATGGGCACCATCCCTGTGCTCCTCTCTTGGCCGTGTCCCTGCGTGGGCCTCTCCGGGAGGAGGCTGAATGGAGCCGACCTGCTCCACGAGCCGGGCACAGCTTCATCCTGCCAGTACTCGGCTGCTCCCCCACCTCTGCGAGGGCGGTGCTGGCCTGCTGAGCCCTGTCCAGCTCATGACAGTGGTTATGCATTGGCTAGGGCGTGGAATCAGACCGCTCTGCTCCTGCCTTGGCTGCTTGGTGAGGGGTATGGGGACAGGCCAGCTGTCCCCTCCGCACGGGCACGGGAACCTGCCCCAGCAAGAACGGGGATTGTTGTTGCATCTGGTGTTCGTTTTGGTGCAAAATAAAAGCTGCTGGTAGCTGGAAATGGGCGATGGGGGATCTGTGGGGAGCAGGGGCAGCACCCCTGGGGGTGCACTCAGCCCTTCTGCAGCTGGCGGTGCTGGCGAAGGTCGGAGCAGGAGCAGAGATGCCGGCGGAGGGATTTCCTGACAGGAACGTCCCAATGTGCCCCCCTTCAGGTGTTTGCACGCGGCACACTCTGTCCCTTCGCTGCTGGCAGCAACTGCCGGGGCTCGTCCTCGTCCCGGAGCAATGCCCCGCGGTTTAAAACAGCCTTCTGCAGGGCTGAAGGCTGATCCCACACCTTCATCGTGTGGCCCTGCTGGGCTCGGGCAAGGGCAAGGGCAGGCGGGACCCCGTGGCAGTGGTCAGAACCCCAAACCCCTTGCCACGGGGGGAGACGCAAGAAAACACGGGTGAGAGGTGGGAAGGAGAGGGGAGCAGCCTGGGCCCCAACGCAGACGGACAG